GAAGTCCTAAAAGTAGAGTACTCGTGGGATCTTACGGCATGTTCCTCCTGATTGCTCAGTATTTTTCTTTTGCACCAGAATTTTTATTTAAACATACGCTATACATACAGTAACACATGGTTTATGCATGTAGACTCTCATTCCTACCCAGTGACTACATGTTTTGATGCAATATTAGAAAATATATCTGTTTTCTGTTATAATGCTCTTTACTTTGGCAGTAGGTGCTTTTAAATTCCACTACAATTCACACAAAGAATACTGAAGTGGAGTATTTATTGGGCTCATAACCCATTAGTGTGCCACTTAGTTAATATCCACAACCACTAAATAATGAAGTCTTTTCTCCCATCAGCCCTTATTGTGATGCTTCTTAAGGTTGTTCTATAAAATGCATTAATACACAGGATGTTCTCCTGTATAAAACAAATATTAAAATCCTATCTTAAGCTACATTTTGCACAAGAACAGAAAAGATGCAGAAATTGCTGTACTTAAAATATCATTTACATTTGCACTGTGAGATATTCTTACCATTACCCATTTTAAGTTTTCTGACCTTTTCATCATTCACTCTTCTTAAAAGATTTTATTTGTGATGGGCACCTTACCACATACAGCTACATACATAGGCAAATAGTGCTGAGCACATACTATCCAGAAAACCAGTTTTCAAAATCTGTTCCCAAACTTCACGATCTCTACTGCAGAGATAGATCTTCTTGCGCTTATTTGACAAAACGGTGAATGTCATTGCAAATGGTCTGATGTGAATACCAATGTTGGAAAAACTGCTGTTTCTACATCTGTACTTCTTAGAACATTCTCGGTTGTCAAGGTCCACTCACAGACCAAGTCATGATGTTTGGCCCAGCAGAGTTTGTTAAATTCTAGCTAGTGGTCCGTGAAGATTAGTTGAGAAACTGTATTGTAGAAGATCATGGAACCTTACTTAATCATAAAACGTTGAGGGTTGGGTAATATATTTCTGTAATGCTATATGTAATGGTGAATGTTAATCTGCTACTAACCTTTTGACTGCAAGAGGGGGCAGCAACCATATTTGTTTTTCTTTGCTATATCCTTGTTTCAGTCAAGCGGGTAATCAACTAACTTAATGCACATCATGCTGATTACTGTGATTCGATAGATTCTATTGAATATACTGTGATTTAATTTTTTTTTTACCTGTCTAAAGTAAATCTTGACTCTCATGGGAGCTGGTATTTCCAAAATCTCTTAAGAAACGTTGCCTTGGAATATTAAGGGAAAAAAAGAATAGATTTACTGGTTGTAAATGTTTATATAATGTACAGCACCTATAAATATATATACATATATCTTTCCAAAGTATAGAATAGATCTGTAAAGCAGTTATTATTTTTTATATAGATATATATATGAGAAAATTCCAGTCAAATGGCCTTCAGTTCTTGCACTGTAAAATACAAATTGCTGTATAATTTTGTTTTATTTTCCAATAATGCATTATATATTGTATGTGTTAAGCTGAAGTATCCTTCAAAATTAAGAACTATTTTGCATTAAAATGAATACACACATTTGCTTTGACTTTGGTTTCCTATTGATTAAATTAAATATACCTGTACATTATGTGCTTTGTCTTTGCATGAAAAGAAGAAAAAAAAATGAAGTTCAACATTATTATGTTGTGTGCGTTGAGTACTTTCTAATATACGTTCTTTTTCAAGTTTGTCATGGGAATAGCTATCTTTATCCAAGGGTAATCATATTATATTTGATATAAAGTTAACAAAAGGATGAAGTTGCCCTACCACAAATAGAGCATGAAACCATGAGTTATGGTTTCCATTGCTATGTTAACCAGCTGTGTTGCCAACAGGTCACTCCAGGCCCTTCTGTGACTGGTTGCAATTTTTAGAAATAGTTTTTCATCTGCTCTGTACAAAGGAATCCCAAAAATATAAATTCCCCCGTTAATGCAATCTTCACTGTTTTTGATATAAAAGCTGGTACCTCCAAGATAATTTCAAAATGAGGAGTCCTAGATTACCTCAACCAATTTAGGGTCAAAAAAAATCCCAAAAGAACAATTTTGCAAATTAAAATCTACTTACAAGGACAACAGTTGTACGTGTCTCTTCAGTAACGTGGTTCTTTCAAAGGCGTTATAATGCAGTAAGCTTCAGAGGTTGCAGCACTGTACTAAGCAGTGTAATAGAAAAATACAAAGGAAATCGAGAAGAAACAAGAGGAAAAGAAGGGGTCCACAGGAGAACCAAACAAGAACTGAGGGTTCTCACCATTAATGGAGCCAGAGTTTCTGAAATAAGGGAAGGGAAAAGTCTTCTTTTATGTGTGAATCATTAAGAATACCATGTCTAGCTGCAAATATACAATATAATTTTGTAAAGGTGCTTCCGTGTAACTAGTTCTAGGAATTGAGATAATTTAATATCAGACATGGAAGATCTATCTAATATATAGTTGTGTCCAAAACCATTTCCCAAAAATACTAGCCATGGAACATTAACTGAGCTTAAAGCAGCATTGTTGTGTTGTGGTGTATATAAATTCTCTGTTTATCAGCTTTGACCACAGTCAGGTGGCCTTTAAAGGGTTGTAAATATCTTTAAATAGACCAGCCATACACATTGTGAAATCGGATACATGTGCTGGTTTCCATTACAGTGGGATTATACTTTACTACTAACAAGTTACAGGAAACTGTAAATATAACCCCCAAAAACTGCATTTTGTCTCATTCACAAGCGCTCAGTCCTTTTCTCAATTTTGTCTGCATTGACCAAGCCTCAAAACATTTCCAAAAATGAACAGGGTTATTTACTGCAGTTAGTATTATCAGGAATTCATGGCGAGTTTAAAATTGAGGCCAAAATTAGCCTAACTGAAAGCATAGCTGAATTGGATTATTTATTTATTTTCCATTTGGGCTGCTTTGGCCATCATTTTGAAATTCACTTTAAATTCCAGACAATTCTCACTTGAATGAATAACACTGTAAATGTCCAAATTCACAGTCCCTTTTCATATGTACCACTCATATTTATTTATTTATTTATTTATTATTGCAATTTATAAAGCGCACACAGATTCCGCAGCGCTGTACAATTAGTTGAGAAACGTACATTTGCTCTCTTACCTCTTGTATTTGTTTGTGTATATTGTACGTTTCTCAACTAATTGTACAGCGCTGCGGAATCTGTGTGCGCTTTATAAATTGCAATAATAAATAAATAAATATGCGTGGTACATATGAAAAGGTGCTAATTATGGTTAATTATCAGTTAATAATATTATGATAAAACATTGGATGCAGTTAAGCAGTAGTAGAAAGAGAAACACGAGTGATTTTTATAATACAAAAAGTATATAAATTTGTTGTACATCAGAATACTGTTGAAGGTATAAGAAAATTATATTTTATATTAAAAAAAAAACAAAGTCTAGAAGCAAACCAAATGCATAGGGCAGTACGTCAAAACAAAAAAAACTATTATTTATTTAATAAAATTTGTATTTTTGTGGATCTATGTTGCTGGTTCTTGTTGTTTATACATGTGGAGTTAAAGAAGAGTAAAGCCCAGTCCATAATTACAGAAGCATAGCAATAGGGAGTGGTGTCATTCGTTGCTGGGTCTGATAGGGCTCCATAAAGATTTCAGATTATCTGCCACCCATCTTGCCCATTCTGTTCCATGGAAGGCTAGGCAACTTTTTAACCCCTTACGGACACACCTAAACATGATGGGGACACATGACGGTCAGTGTTATGTGGCTAGGTGCCTCCGCACGGGTGGCTCTTAAAGGACCACTCTAGGCACCCAGACCACTTCAGCTTAATGAAGTGGTCTGGGTGCCAGGTCCTTCTAGGGTTAACCCATTTTTTTATAAACATAGCAGTTTCAGAGAAACTGCTATGTTTATGAATGGGTTAAGCCTTCCCCCATTCCCTCTAGTGGCTGTCTCATTGACAGCCACTAGAGGCGCTTGCGTGCTCCTCACTGTGATTTTCACAGTGAGAGCACGTAAGCGTCCATAGAAAAGCATTAAGAATGCTTTCCTATGCGACGGGCTGAATGCACGCGCAGCTCTTGCCGCGCGTGCGCATTCAGCCCAGAAGGAGGAATGGAGGAGGAGAGGAAGCAGAGAGCTCCCCGCCCAGCGCTGGAAAAAGGTAAGTTTTACCCCCTTTCCCCTTTCCAGAGCCGGGCGGGAGGGGGTCCCTGAGGGTGGGGGCACCCTCAGGGCACTATAGTGCCAGGAAACCGAGTATGTTTTCCTGGCACTATAGTGGTCCTTTAATGTCGCTTAAGTGTGGGGCCGACAGTGTCGCACGTCGCGCTCTGCTGCTGTGGTGTTTTCTTGGGGTAGTGTTTTGGCGGTACGGAGTTCCGTGTGTCGGGATATGTGCGGTAGTCTCCTGGTTAGTGGAATCGATTCCGGCCGGGGAACGTCGGTTGTTTAGGACATCTGGTGGGAGGGGTCAGTGGTTTTGGGGGTGTTGGGGGTTTCAGCTGTGCTACCCGTGGGCTCTCCTGGGTAAGCTGGGCTTTGCCTGTCGGTGTTGCCCTTGGGGCGGTATAGGGTTTTCCTTTATGGCCTCCATTAACGGTGGCTTGTACAATCAGGCCCCCTAAGTCCCTTCCACTGACTTCCACCTGTTGCCGCTGCAGCGGGTTTGGGGGGTTTTGGGGCCCATTTAGGTTTTTTCCATGGTGTGCTGACTCTTGCTCAGTAAGCTGGCAAGCATCGGGGCTCTTGCAGACTCTGGCTGTCTTGGAGCTTCCCATTCGGGTTGCATGATAGGCATGGGGTACCCAGCTCGTGGACGGGTGGATAGTTCTTCCAGTGAGACAATCATGAGGTCCTGCAGGCTGTCTATATCATGTGACAGTGCCCTTTACCCCGGGGGTACTCTGGTTGCGGCACCTAGCTCGGCAGTGTTTGAGTCCGGAAGTGTCTGGTCAGGCGGGGTTTTCCCGGGGGTTTACAAGGTAATGGCAGGTGCTCTATCTTGTTCACCGTAGGACGAACTTCGGGCAGGGGCACCACAGGGCCAAATTATAAGGCGGTGGAGTCATGGTCGCTCGGTCTAGCGGCTGATGAAGCTGGTCCATGGGTCGCTCTCTGAGGTGGTGTGGGGCCCACTACAGTAATGTGTGAGCGATCGGGCCAGATGAGAGCATTTCCTTGGTGGCTTCTCGTTCATGTTACGGTCATCTGCAGGTGGGAAGGGGTTTTGGTGGATCGAGTAAGCATCGGAATGGACTTACTTCAGGCTTTCACCGCTCGACGGCTGCTGTATTTGGGAAAGGTAAGTTGGTAGCGGTTGGCTGATTCATCAATAGAATCTGTTCCATTGTTGGATGTTGCAGGGTTGACATAACCGGGCCCTTTCTGCTTTCTTTTGAGGTAGATAGAATGCACAGGGTAATGGTTAGGCTCCTAACAGGATGTACTAGCTTCTCGGGATAGTTGGAAATATACCGTTCCAATTGGGGGGAGCGCGGGTTCCGACATGTGTCCTGTTTTCTTTTCTTTCTATTCCGCCCCTGGGTTATTCGGCCTCCTCTCCCCTTGTTTGGTTCTTAAAGCCGGGTTTTCTCGCCTGCGTCCATGTCGTTGGGGTGCTCCAATTGGGGCTAGAATTCCTGGGTAAAGATGGTGGAGAGTTCAGGGGGCATTCTGTCCGTTTATGGGCGGCTACAGACGCCGCCTGGCTGGGCGTGCTTGCGCCACTGGTTCAAAGGGCTTGAATAGTGGGGGTCAGGGTGGTAGGTTCCTTGGGTTCACCCTGCCAGTCTCCAAATGGATTTCTCTCCGCGGTTATGGTCTCCTCCCCCCCCCCTTCCTGGAATAAGGAGGGTGGGATGCTCATATGTCATTTGGGGCGGGGGGCGAGTGGTTGGATCTTACACCTTCGGGATCGGACGTGCTTGCTGGAGGTCGGACTAGGCCTATGTTAATCTAGCGCTGCATGAAGTGGTGGAACAGGCCATGGCTGGTTGTGGTGGGGTCCCCCGCTGATTTTAGGTGTATGTCCTTGCCAATTGAGTTTGAGGGGTTACGTTTAAGTATATGGAATGAGATGAACAAGTTTTTAAGGTCTCAACCTCCCCTGCTTCAAACGGTTAACATTAGGTTGCTTGAGGTGTCGTGCCCATCGAGCGTAGATAAGGTCGGCTGATGGCGGGCATTGGAAAGATATGATTTTTATGACGAGGGGGGAGGTGAGAGGAAGTGGTGATTCGGAACCACTGTATGTTTATTGGCAAGGACGGTTGGGTCACTGTATAACACTATGTGTGGAGTTATATATGTATATATGTTAATTTATGCTTATTTATGTCTAACGTTTTTGGTTACAGAAAAAGAAGAGATTTAATAAACAAAGTTATGGGTGTGTTTTGCAGTAATTTAGTTTGTGATAATAAATGCTGTGGCCATCCATACTAAGTGGTCTGGCGTTATTGGGGGGTTGAATGGGGTTAGTTTTTGTTCTAGGCTGCATCGCGATTTCCCACTACGTACATACAAGCTATTTTCCCCGAAAATTTGAAATTCTCTTTGAATCTCTGACAAATCACACATTAGTGTAAACTCTCTTAATTGTTTTTTTTTTTAAAATACAAATGAATTACAAACTTTGGGGACTTATCTCGTCTAATATGGTCATAACATGCCTTCCCAAGCCAAGTCATTCTGATTAATTGATCTTTTGTAAATGGAGCACAGGTAGTACAAAAGCTCTTAACTTACCATCTACCTGACAAACTACTTGTGGTCAAAATCTTAAAGATTGTTTCATTGAGAAAAAAACTGGAAACTGAAGTTATTTTTGTGAAGCAAATATTTATGATTGAATCTTGGGGTGGTAGGCAACTTCTCACAATAAATTATATAACTGTGCTGTTATCATAAATTTTGGCATATGTAGAATAATCAAAAGAATCTTTGAAAGGATACATGTGCAGCATTTGACATGGTCATAAATATATAAAATGCTTACAGTGTCTAATGCATATAACCAAGGACGCTCATGTAATAAATAAATAAATTCTAGTGAGAAAGGCAATATTGACTAAAATATGTCAATGGCTCATTGTTGATCTGATTGCTTAAAATATCTTCCAGCTATAGAAGAATACTAAAAATAATACTGAATATAATGAATAATTACCATGCTGTTAATAAGTTTTCGTGATTTTCACGTTTAGCTTACTAAGCAGACACGACATGATCACCCACAGATTTAATAGACTATTGGTATATTTCTAGCCCCACTTTTAATCCCTTTAGTAAATATTGCAACTCTGTATATGTTTAATGTAGCTACTACTCAGGCCAGACCTGTCCACATTTATTACTGAGCACTAACCATTTATGAAGACCATTATTCTAACTGCATTTAAATTAAAGATCATTTATATATTAAATTATTCCCCATTTTCATGTTTATTCAGGAGACTGAATACAATTTGCAAACTACAAGGAGGGTCCCAAACATTAAATTGACTTTTCTGGAACAAGCAAACCTAACATTGATCCCAGGCAATGAAATTAAATTACAGTATCTCACAAAAGTAAGTACACCCCTCACATTTTTTGTAAATATTTTATTATAGCTTTTCATGTGACAACACTGAAGAAATGACACTCTGCTACAATGTAAAGTAGTAAGTGTACAGCCTGTATATCAGTGTAAATTTGCTGTCCCCTCAAAATAACTCAACATACAGCCATTAATGTCTAAACCGTTGGCAACAAAAGTGAGCACACCCCTAAGTGGAAATGTCCAAATTGGGCCCAAAGTGTTAATATTTTGTGAGGCCACCATTATTTCCAGCACTGCCTTAACCCTCATGGGCATGGAGTTCACCAGAGCTTCACAGGTTGCCACTGGAGTCCTCTTGCACTCCTCCATGACGACATCACAGAGCTGGTAGATGTCAGAGACCTTGTGCTCCCCCACCTTCCATTTGAGGATGCCCCACAGATGCTCTATACGGTTTAGGTCTGGAGACTTGCTTGGCCAGTCCATCACCTTTACCTTCAGCTTCTTTAGCAAGGCAGTGGTCGGTTTGGAGGTGTGTTTGGGGTTGTTATCATGTTGGAATGCTGCCCTGCGGCCCAGTCTCCAAAGGGAGGGGATTATGCTCTGCTTCAGTATGTCACAGTACATGTCATTCATGGTTCCCTCAATGAACTGTAACTCTCCAGTGCCGGCAGCACTCATGCGAGCCCAGACCATGACACTCCCACCACCATGCTTGACTGTTGGCAAGACACACTTGTCTTTGTACTCCTCACTTGGTTACCGCCACACAGGCTTGACACCCTCTGAACCAAAGTTTATCTTTGTTTCATTGGACAACAGGACATGGTTCAAGTAATCCATGTCCTTAGACTGCCTGTCTTCAGCAAACTGTTTGCGCGCTTTCTTGTGCATCATCTTAAGAAGAGGCGTCCTTCTGGGACGACAGCCATGCAGACCAATTTGATGCAGTGTGCGGCGTATGGTCTGAGCACTGACAGGCTGATCTCCCACCCCTTCAACCTCTGCAGCAATGCTGGCAGCACTCATGCGTCTATTTCCCAAAGACAACCTGTGTATATGACGCTGAGCACGTGCACTCAACTACTTTGGTCGACTATGGCGAGGCCTGTTCTGATTGGAACCTGTCCTGTAAAACCGCTGTATGGTCTTGCCAACAGTGCTGCAGCTCAGTTTCAGGATCTTGGCAATCTTCTTCTAGTCTAGGCCCTCTTTATGTAGAGTAACAATTCTTTTTTTCAGATCTTCAAAGAGTTCTTTGCCATAAGGTGCCATGTTGAACTTCCAGTGACTAGTATGAGAGAGTGTGAGAGCGATAACACCAAATTTAACACACCTGCTCCCCATTCCCACCTGAGACCTTGTAACCCTAAAGAGTCACATGATACCGGGTAGGGAAAAATGGCTAACTGGTCCTTTTGTTGCTAGCGGTTTAGATATTAATGGCGGTCTGTTGATATTTTGAGGGGACAGCAAATTTACACTGTTATACAGGCTGTACACTTACTACTTTACATTGTAGCAGAGTGTCATTTCTTTAGGGTTGTCACATGAGAAGATTTAATAAAATATTTACAAAAATGTGAGGGGTGTACTCACGTTTGTGAGATACTGTGTGTATGTGTATATATATATATATATATATATATATATGTGTGTGTGTAAATCTGATACATATCTAGATCTGATACACTTGTGATAAAATGAACAGTAAAGATTTTTTATTTTTTTTTAGCCATGTTCTTAAAGGAACTTTCTAAGCACCATAACTACTACAGCACTGTAGAAGTTATGGAGCTAGGCATTCCCTGGCCACCCCCTTGTAAGTAGTCAAAGCATTTCAAAATGGTTTGACTTCTTCCCTGGAGTCCACTTGGTGCCATTCCTGCATCCACTACTTTCGACAAAGAGACGGAAACGTCTGTCTAAGCCAATGAGGTAGCCGCTTAGCTCAGGAGAGGTAACAGATGATTTAGTGGAGATGGGGAGCAGTGCCTAGGTAAGACGTAAAACCTAGGAAACAGTTTGACTACTTATGATGCTAGGTGCTAGGGCTCTCCATGCACCATCACTACACTGTAGTAGTTAAGGTGCTAGAAGTGTTATTTTGGGAATATTCATCTCACAGGTATGTATAGTTAAGTCTCATTTATTTTTTATTCCACTTCCATGGTGGAAGCTGATGTATCCTCCTGGTTCAACACAGGAGAAGCAGTATGGAGAGGGAATAATTATACAAAACCAAAAAATTCAGCTCAGGCAGGCCCGGACTGGCCATCACAGGGCCTTCCCGGCTGGTCCTTGCAGGGCCCGCGCTATCCGCCCACTTGCACAAGCATAGGGAGACAGGAGAGGACCTCCAAGATAGATCTCCGCCGCGTTCCTCTCACCGTGGCAACACACCCGATCTTACAAGAGTCAACTCTAGCGCCTCGCAGGCTAGAGTTCACTCACCACTAGCGCCACCAGGAATGGTGTGAGAGTGCCGGTCCTCCCCTCCCAGGCACCACCGTGCTGTTCCCCCCCACCCAGTTAGCGGCAGCATTAAAACTCTCCAAATCCCACAGGGCTCCCGGCCCAGACGGCCTCCCACTAGCCTACTTACGTACATTCCGCGACATCTTACTGCCGAACCTTCTACGAGGTCTTGGCTCGCTTCAAGATGGGGAGCAGTTCCCCACCGACTCATTCGCGGCCATAGTCACGGTAATACCCAAGGAAGGCAAGGACCCAGCGAACTGCGCAAGCTACCGCCCCATATCCCAGCTCAACGCGGACCTCAAATTGTTCGCCAAGACACTAGCCCTGCGAATCGCAAAGCACCTACCACACCTGGTGCACTCGGATCAGGTCGGGTTCGTGCCTGAAAGGGAAGGAAGGGACAACACCATCAAAGCCCTAAACATTCTGCAAGTGGCAAGGTCGCAACACCGGGAGCTGCTACTTCTCTCGACGGATGCCGAGAAGGCTTTCGACCGAGTGGACTGGGTGTATCTAGAGGAAACACTCATACACATGGGATTCGGCCCACTTATGCGAACATGGGTCCTCTCCTTGTACACGAGCCCGACGGCTCGGATTCAGGTGAACGGAGCCCTGTCCGCCCCCTTCCCCATTCGGAACGGAACCTGCCAAGGTTGCCCGCTGTCCCCCCTCCTGTTTGCCCTCTCCCTGGAACCCTCCCTGGGGGCAGTCCGACGGGACGGGGGCATTGCGGGATTCACCGTTGGCCAACGAGAATATCGGGTAGCCGCATACGCGGATGATATGTTGTTTTTCCTCACCCAACCGCGGATCTCACTACCTAATCTTCTGGCTGCATTACGAAGATTTGGCTCGATATCTAACCTTAAGCTCAACACAGATAGGTCTGAGGCCCTTCACCTACCAGGCCCTCAGGACCCCTCCCTGACGCTACATACCCAATTTCGCTTCAAGTGGTGTCACACTAAATTGAAATACCTGGGCATATGGCTACCTAAAGACATGGCCCAACTGTACTACCAAAATTACCACCCGCTGCTACAAACAATCCAGGCAGATATGAGAAAATGGGCCCCTCAATATATATCTTGGTTCGGATGCATTAATGCAGTCAAAATGAACCTACTGTAAATGGTAGTTGGTTCAGCGCTTAATGTGTCAATAGAAATAGTGCAAAATATATTTGTATATGGGCAGCAACCTAAAATAAGACGTTCCCTCACAATGCGTCTAAGGAAGAGGAGAATCAAAGAGATAAAAGATATAGGTCGCACCAAAAGTTATTGGGGAGTGTATAAAAATTTGTGTGGGAAAAAATAAATAAGTGAATATAAAAAGGTAGAAAAGAGCAACATAAAAAGTACTCACATATACAGTGGTATATAATAACATAAATAAGTCCTTAGATGAGTATAAGATGGTGTAGTCCACTTAATGAGTAGTAAAAGGAAATAGTGATCCAAACGAAGAGATGATCAGGAGTTTCTTGTTCCGAGTGACGATATATAAAATAGAACAGAAGGAAATTCCAATAGTGTAATCTGTCAATTAAAATTCCTTGCGTGAATTCAAGATAGTAGAGTATCCCACTCACCTTTCTGAGAGCTAAGATAAGCTCAAATCAACTTCGCATCCAGTGGTATAGATCCACCACTGATGGGATATAGGCTTGTGCACGTAGAGAAAAACCTCGGGGAAAGTGGAGAATAACACAAAATAGTGCTCACTGTATAATAAATGTAACGTGAATATAAGAGTATATGGGATACTCACATTTAGGTGAGCAGAAAAATACTGCTCACTAATATAGCGTTGGTGGTATAGTCCCCACCTAGGATTCTTGAGTACAGATTAAAAAGAGCATAAAATAAAATTAAAATAAAAACCAGGTCCAGGAATAAAATAAATGAGAATAAAAATTATAGGAGTATGGCAAAAAGAATATATTAGCCAATAATCCTTTATTAGTGCAATATAAGATAATACAATAGATAAAATAGCCAAAACGCGTTTCGCCACACAGGGCTTTATCAACTGGCAATTGTCTACAATTGCCAGTTGATAAAGCCCTGTGTGGCGAAACGCGTTTTGGCTATTTTATCTATTGTATTATCTTATATTGCACTAATAAAGGATTATTGGCTAAAATACTGCTCACTAATACTGTCTACAATTGCCAGTTGATAAAGCCCTGTGTGGCGAAACGCGTTTTGGCTATTTTATCTATTGTATTATCTTATATTGCACTAATAAAGGATTATTGGCTAATATATTCTTTTTGCCATACTCCTATAATTTTTATTCTCATTTATTATATTCCTGGACCTGGTTTTTATTTTTATTTTATTTTATTTTATTTTATGCTCTTTTTAATCTGTACTCAAGAATCCTAGGTGGGGACTATACCACCAACGCTATATTAGTGAGCAGTATTTTTCTGCTCACCTAAATGTGAGTATCCCATATACTCTTATATTCACGTTACATTTATTATACAGTGAGCACTATTTTGTGTTATTCTCCACTTTCCCCAAGGTTTTTCTCTACGTGCACAAGCCTATATCCCATCAGTGGGGGATCTATACCACTGGATGCGAAGTTGATTTGAGCTTATCTTAGCTCTCAAAAAGGTGAGTGGGATACTCTACTATCTTGAATTCACGCAAGGAATTTTAATTGACAGATTACACTATTGGAATTTCCTTCTGTTCTATTTTATATATCGTCACTCGGAACAAGAAACTCCTGATCATCTCTTCGTTTGGATCACTATTTCCTTTTACAACTCATTAAGTGGACTACACCATCTTATACTCATCTAAGGACTTATTTATGTTATTATATACCACTGTATATGTGAGTACTTTTTATGTTGCTCTTTTCTACCTTTTTATATTCACTTATTTATTTTTTCCAAAATGAACCTACTACCCAGGCTGCTCTATTTATTTCAGGCGGTGCCGATCGCGGTCCCCAGAGCGTTTTTTAGCTCCCTGACGACCGCCATCCGCAGATTTGTCTGGAACTCGCGTCCAACGCGCATCAAGAGAACCACTTTGAAACTGCCAAAACTGTTGGGGGGAGCCGGCCTGCCCTCAATAGAGACGTACTACCGAGCCGCACACTTACACAGGTTCACAGACTGACATGCGCAACATCCCACAAAACAATGGGTCACAATGGAATTAGAACAGTCGAGAGGGCGCATACCCCCCACATTATGGCTACGCACGGCCACATACGCAGACCTACAAACCCAAAATCCCTTAATAGACACCACCCTGAGGGTCTGGATGACAACCCGATATCGCCTACAACTTACCACTTCACCCAGCCCTCTGACCCCCCTCATACATAACCCGGACTTAGCCGAACTACAACCTATGGACTGGTCATACATACACCAGTGGCTCAACTCCAACGGTCTCAAAACACTCGGGGAACTATGCCCCGACAGAACACCTACATTCCTAGAACAGTTCAGATACCGCCAAATAAAATCATACTACTCATCCCTGTCGGGTAAGGGGCACTTACACAGACCCTTAACTGACTTCGAAACCCTATGTGTGCACCGCACACACTTCTCCAGGGGTATCTCAACCCTGTACACACTACTCTCGACCCGGACGAACAGGGACGTGGAGCTTAGGTTCAAGGACCACTGGGAGAGGGATGTGGGAGAGACACTCACAGCACAAGAATGGGACAAGATATACACCCTTACGCACAAATGCTCTATTAGCTCGAAATTCCAGGAATTAAACTATAAAGTGCTAACAAGCTGGTATAGAACGCCCGACACACTGCACCGCATGCACGATACCACGTCAGACACATGCTGGCGATGTGGCACACAACCCGGCACCTATATCCACATATGGTGGTCATGCCCGGTAATTACCCCTTTCTGGGAACAAATTAGAGGAGAAATCAACAAAATCACAGGCGCAGATATACCCCTGGCACCCTTAACGATGCTACTGCACCACACCCGAAGCCCTCTGAAAGCATACAAAAAATCTCTAGAGCTGCCGCTGCTCAATGCCGCCAAATCCCTCATACCGAGGATGTGGAAACAGTCAAGAGCGCCCACCCTGGGGCAATGGGTGGCGGCAGTGGAGGACACATACTCAATGGAAACCCTGACGTCCGACCTCCACGGGAGACCGGAGCGGTGCGCATTGACCTGGTATCCATGGACCACATACATGGCGGATAGAACAGGGGCCCCCGAACCAACCTAGCTGAAAAGCACACAACATCCCGACAAACACCTTACACCCCATAGACACGGATACAACCTACCCAAATACCACACACAGACAACTGACAGGTTTCCCCCGACCAAAACTGACACCTGAAAGACATAACACCCACCTGGACAACCTACCCACCCTACCTGGACCTGGAGCAATCCAGGACGGACAACCTGACGCAACCGGTAGCACAGAGACAGGTTTGAGACGCGGGGACACTAGACCCCGGACAAAAGGTGAGACCCCAAAGCTCACGCAACACACCCTGAGCACCGCATCTACAGATAGTAGAATGCCACTAAGTTGTACGAAAGCCCCCCCCCGTACCTGCGACACATAGGCAACCTCCCATACGACTAGCACGTCACTTAGCACCACAGTTTGCAGTAGGGACGACTTAGCTTAGGTCAATAGACCCCAACCGGGGAACCGTGAACTAAAAAACCGGGTCCAATTGTACACATAGCATCCTAAGTAGCGTTGTACACCTAAGAGATAACACCCGATGGCTACGACAGAAGCCGGGCAAGTGTCCCAGGGATAGCGTATGCTACACGGACAGCTAAAATCGCAGTCTTGATAAGACAGAACCCGAGGCGGCAGTCACTGCAAAGACCTGGGACCCAGACCTAGCTCCGTAAGAGCGCTAAGCACCTGTAGGCGATAGCCACGATAGTCAGGGGGTGCAACAGAGGAAACCCACAGACGGGTCTATGTAGTTGCTGGAGCAAAACCTAGTCCGCACTAAGTTGTTCAATTTGACTAAATGTTCCTTACCAGACTGACCAATGTTACAATATTTTATCTGAAAAATTGAAAAATAAAGATTGTCAAAAAAAAAAATCTCCAAATTATACTCGGTTACATCTTCTGAGTAAAAAAATATGTCCAATGTATGACCTAAACACTATTTTGTGAAGTTACAGTGCTGTAAAAGAGACGTGACAAGTTCAGGTTTTTAAGTGTGAATTTTCATGAAGGGTTTTGATGCGTCAGTGTCCCACTTTGGAGCACTTGAGCAGGCTCCATATTACAACTACACCATAAAGGCATACCATTTCTTGAAGACGACATCCCAGGGTATTTCAAAAGGCATATTTTGAACCTTAGCGTGGGATAATTTTTCCGCTAGCTTGTACCAAGTGTGGTAATAAGCATTTTTTCTGCCTTTTTGACACAAAAAGTGAGTTTGCACAGTATATTTTGCAAACCTTATGTGTGCTACGACTGTATAATACTACATATGTTGCTCAGGTATGTCGTCTGAGTACAACAATACCCCCGTATGTACCTTTGCCAGGTATATGTGGATGTTGAAGGGGCACATTTGAGACGCAGCTATTCAGTTTTTTTCTAACTTTCAAGTTTTACGCTGTGTCCATGTTCCATTTTGGAGTAGTTTAGCTGGTTGGTTATTCAAACTTCCCCACAAACACATCTGATTTATTAAAGAATACACCGTGGGGTAATTCAAAAGTTTCTCTAGTTGTTCCAGGTGTAGAGGTAATGAGCATTTTTAAATGTATTTTTTACTTTTGAAACTTTTTTTGCTTATTACATTTTTTTAATCTTTTCTAAACTTTCTTAAAACTTACAGATTTAACATTTTTCTAACCATTTTTTTTTTTAACCTTTAACCCCGAACTAGCAGTAAGCAGCACTGAGAGTAAATTCCACAATTTCCCATAACTCCCACCCACCCCAGCTAGCAAAATATATCATTTTAAAATATTTACATTAATTAAATAAATTGAACCTCTGAGGGTTAAAACAAAATAAAAGCTGACCCTCAGGGGTTAAAAAGAAAAATCAGATCACCGTAAAATGTAGTCCCTGCCAATTGATTACTGTAGTCCGTGATCAATTGGCGGGGAAGTTTTTATTTAAAATGGGTAAAGTGGGGTGGGATTTTACTGCTGATCCGTCTCCTTGCACTTCACACAGAACACGGAAGAGCAGGGAGGTGGATGGTGAGTCTCTGCAGCACATGTCCTCGCTCTGACAGCCTGTTAGAGCGATTACTGCTGTAGGGGCAGTGAGATAGGGTGCTCCCGGTCTGCCTCTAATACAGAGGCAGACCGGAGGAGTGTTAACAACACGATCGCAGCGATCTGGGGTTAACTTTACCCCATAACGGACCCGGTCCGTCATTCGATGTTAACTGTTTCCCCGCCATGATGGACCGGGTCCGTCATCCGGCGGAAAGGGGTTAAGGATTGTAGTTTATTGATAAGCCTTCTATGTGCAACAGTGTCAAAAGCCTTACTGAAATCTAGATAAGCAATGTCTACTGCATCACCCTGATCTATTATTTTAGTTACCCAGTCAAAAAAAATCAATAAGTTTAGTTTAGCATGATCTCCCTGAAGTAAACCCATGTTGTCTCTTATCTTGAAATCCATGTGTTTTTAGATGTTCAACAATCCTATCCTTTAACATGGTTTCCATTACTTTTCCCACTATTGAAGTAAGGCTTACTGGCCTAAAGTTGTCTGACTCCTCCCTACTACCTTGCGAATGGGCACAACATTTGCTAACTTACAATCTTCTGGGACTACTCCTTAACAATTAACAATGGTTTTGCTAGTACACCACTAAGCTCTTTTAATAACTTTGGGTGTATTCCATTAGGTCCCATTGACTTATTTGTCTTTACTTTGGCAGTTGAAATAGAACCTCTTCCTCTGTTAACTCACATGTAATAAATTACTCATTTGTCCTTTTTCCTAACTAAGGCCCCTTTCCTTTATTTGAATCTGTAAATACTGAACAGAAATATTAATTGAGGCAGTCAGCTAGACCTTTATCCTCTTCTACATACATTCTTTTTTTTGTTTTTAATCTAACTAATCCTTGTTTTACTTTCCTTTTCTCATTTATGTATCTAAAACATGTTTTGTCCCCTTTTCTTTTTTCTGACTGTGCTATTTTCTCTTTTTTGTGTGATTTGGAAGCTCCTATAACTTGCTTAGCCTCTTTCTGCCTAATCTTATAGATCTGTCTATCTTCCTCACTCTGTTTTTTTTTTGACTAAATGCTAACTTTTTGTTTTGTAATATTTTGGCCACATCTGCGGAGTACCACAGTGGTTTCTTGAATTTTTGCATACATGGGGACACTGGAAGACAGGGAGACACTGGGAGCAATCCATCTATACAGCATAATCAAACTAAGTTTTTTGGTGAGTTTACAGAATTTTATCTTAGGTCACTCCTTGTGATTTACGTTATGTGATGTCATGCAAATTAGTAAGGCCTGTATTTTTTTTCCCAAGAAAGGTGGCAACCCTAACTACTCTTCACATACTCTTGCTTAAGTATAGAAACTTAAGAGGGATATATGGAAACCAGTGGCGTACATACCGGGGTCGCGGCTGCGACCCGGTTTGTACCCACAGGGCCAGCCTCTTCTTCTGAGGGGCCCAGGAGACGGTCACCTCAGGGCCCCCCCCCCCGAGGCTGGCCCTGCTGACCCCGGCGGGCGGGCTGGCTGTCTGGGTGGCCGGCGCGCGAGGGAGCACTCTCCTCTGTATGCTTCCTCTTCAGCTCCCTCGCGCACCGCACTGATACCAGAGCCGGAAGATGACGTCATCTTCCGGCACTGCCATCCCTATGCAGTGCGCGAGAGAGCTGAAGAGGAAGCACACAGAGGAGAGTGCTCCCTCGCGCGCCGGCCACCCAGACAGCCAGCCCGCCCGCCCAGCAGCACCACTGGACTCCAGGGAATCCCCCCAGCACTACAAAAGGTAAGGAGGCTGGGGGGATTAAATTTAAAAAAAAAGTGTTTGTGTTAGTGTGTTAGTGTGTCTGTTATTGGGTGTGTGTCTGTTATTGGGTGTGTGTCTGTTACTGAGTGTGTTTGATGTCTGTTAGTGTGTGTTTGTCAGTGAAAGTGTATGTTTTGTAAGTGAGTGTGTATGTATGTCTGTCAATGAGTGTGTCCAGACACACACTAGATCCCTTACCCAACTCTGGATCATCTACACACACTAGATCCCTATATACACTCTGAATCCACTATACACACACACACACACACACACTCTAGATCTCCTATACAAATTATGGGTCCTTCAAACACACACACACACACACACACACACACTACATTTTTGACATACACACACTGGATCCCCTATACACACACACACACACACCAGATTCCTTGTAAGCAAACACATACTACATTCCCTAAATACACACTCTACAACCCCTACAAACACTACATCACCTATACACACACACATACACACACTATAGCCTGTATGCACACAATTGCTACATCCCCCTATACACACGCTCTCTACAGTCCCTAGCCACACATGCATTACATTACACCACAAACACAACACAACTAATACCACACCACAATCAGCTCACTCTACACACACGCAATCCCACAAGCAGGCTCCAAACACATGCACAATACTCTTTCCTGGCCCGTTTGTCTCCTGGTATCCCATTTACAGACACACCAGAGACGAATTGCAAGGAAGTACAGTACAAGTTATTAAATTAGCTTGCACAGTGCAAAACAAATACAGGGCTCCTTTTCTCATGCTAGAGCTTTTCAGCAGAGCTCTGCGCATGATCTACCCTGGAAGAGCATTGAACCAAAATGCTCACTTTGAGAGGGGGCATGCTTGTCATCGGTGATGACAAAACACACCCTCTCTGCCCCACCCCCTTCTTAGTGGGCCACTGTGATAAAAAAAATGCCCAGGCTGAATTTATTTCCCAGTCTGGCCCTGCGTTCAGGTAACTACCTGAAATAACATTTTCCCATCAAGAGTTCTCAAGTGAAAAATATAACCATTTCAATAGCCTTGGAGCAAATGACAGAAAGTCTGTCTAGAATTCATTGGCTAGATACTTCCTTTGTGACCGATAGTTTTTTGTCTTCTAAATTAATGGTGACTGTTTTGCTGCAGGTTTGCGTACGTTCCTATTTCTCTGTCCCACCACGCTACTCATTAGGGCAGTGGTACTCAACACATCGCTGATCCAGATTTTGTTAGTATCTCCAAAGGATTCGAATTGTGAAGTTCCTAAATCAAGGGCTGTGGTGGCACCTTATTTATTCTCATCAGACATTCAACATGTGAAAACAGGTAAAAACTGCATATGTATGAAATACACTTTTATAATGATGCCCGATCAGCCTCTTTTAATGGTGGCTAACCTAAAATGTATTTAATTAAAAAAATTGCTTAATTCATGGAATTCCTATCTAGCATATCTCTAGGGATTGCAGTTTGGGTGAAAAGCTGTTCAGTGTCTCCAATTATATATTTCATCCAAGTTATGTTCATTTTTAATTTGACATTTCGTTTTCTTGCTAATGGATCTCTTCAAATGATAAAGCAAATGTGCAAATATTTCTTCCTGTTACAAATGGTAATAGATTTACTCTAAGGTTCTTCACTGATCATTCAAACTGATAGATTCTAATATTGACCTATTTTCAAACATTCTAGTTAGGGAGCACTTGGGGGGGGGGGAAATTACACAGGATTTACAAAAATGCTTAATTTTAAACAGACTCCGTTTAGTAGGATAGGGTATCTTTTGATTTAATTGATTGTCAGGAACTAATCAAGAACAAAAGTATAGAGGATAAATTGACTGTCTTTAATAAAATGTTACTGAAATACATTTTTCAACACATACCATTGGGAAACAAATGTAAAAGAAGAAAATTAAAACCAATGTGACTTAATCAGGGCTTAGTCATGTTCTAAACAATAAGAGATTGGGCATTGAAAACTTTTAATCCTATAATAAATTAAAAAGATGCCAATAGGACTTACAAAAACGCAATTAGATGAGCTAAACTAGAAAATGAAAAGCTCATAGTTAACAAGAGCATCCCAAAAAGACAACCAATGGCGGCACACCCTACCCACCTCTTGCCCGATGCTTCTCATCAGCCCTTCTTCCCTGACTTCCCTCCACCTACAGTGAGAGGGACTGATGTCACTAGAGGAGCAGTAGGGAGCTGGGAGAACTTGGCCTTGGTATTGGATCGAATACATTTTTCTTATTTTTATTTTGAGTATGCGATTCGGAAATTATTTTAAGGATTGCTAATGGATAATATTCAGGCATTCATTTTAAGCATTAATATCTGTAGTAGGAATCAACATGGTTTTCTGAAACACAGGTAATGCCAAACTAACTTAATTGCAATATCTGAAGATTTGACTAGAAATGTAGATTGGGGTTTTGCAGTGGACGGGATCTACTTGATGTTAATACTGTATTACAAATAGTTAATTGTACAAACTGAAAGTAGTTTCTAGAATGACCCTCAAAACCCTCTGTTGTTGTGCTCCCAACTTGTCTTGGTGCAAGTACTTGTCTGTTAGTCCACCTGCAGAATTTAGATTAAAATTATTGTTATGGATAGAAAACCGGTTTATAGATAGAGTGCAAAAAGCACTTGTAAATGGAAATGGCACAAAAGTAGTGAGCACCTCTGGGTTCTGCCCTGTCTCCACTTTTCTTTAATCTATTTATAGGTTACCATAAAGTGGGCATTGAAAGTCATGTGTTGGTGCTTGCAGATGACACAAAACTAGGTAGGATAAAGCTGTCAGAACCGGATATTATTTATCTGCTGGGGGATTTGGATAAATTAGAGACTGGACAGGAAGTGGCTGATGAGATTCAATAAGATAAATGCAAAGTAACGCATTTCGATTAAGAACCAGCAAGAAACCATGGATGGATGGCAGTGGTGACTCGCAAAGTTTAAAGATGGTGGGGTGTTTCCTTCCTGAAATGTTTGGATCTATCTATTCTACAAGATGCGATGTCGTGTTCAAAACCAGCTGCATCTCCAGCTATCAGTAAAGGAGAAAATTGATACTGAAGATATAATCATGACCGATATGACCGTGTTTTTTTCTAACACATACTTACTTATCAGTAATCCTTACAATGCCAATAAATGTTACTTTTATTTATTTTTTGCAACAAAAAAATGAGGAGGCACTGACCCACCTGCTCCCAGGATCCAGCCTCCATTGATGGGTGGTATAAGACGTTCTTCAACGCGGTATTAAAGGAACACTCCGAGCACCACAACCATGTGTAGTAGGTACAGTTGCAAGAAAAAGAATGTGAACCCTTTGGAATGATATGGATTTCTGCACAAATTGGTCATAAAATGTGATCTGATCATCATCTAAGTCACAACAATAGACAATCACAGTCTGCTTTAACTAATAACACACAAAGAATTAAATGTTGCCATGTTTTTATTGAACACACCATGTAAACCTGCCAGCTTACTATTAGCACAAAATGCAAACAAAAGAATGGCTGAGCATCATGGAAAATATAGTTCAAGCATCTGCAGTGCCAATATAGTTGTTCACTGATTTTATATTACCTCCAAAATAAATCTTCCAGAAATCTTCCTTGGTTGTGGACTGTCCTCCGCAGCGTATACAGGGAGGGACTGTTCCCTTTTGTTTTCCCCTTTATAAATACGTGTGTAATGTGTTAATAAAGGCAATACTTGTTTTACTTACAATAAGTTTTGGCTAGTGTTTGGGGAAAGCGCTATTTTCACAACTCTGACTAGAATGAGGGAAAATAGCAGAGATAAGGCTGAGTACTGAGCTCTGCGACAATCTTATTTTAGAATAATTTATCACTTATGGCCGAATCAAGCCTCCTAAATTCTAGTCACTTTCTATACAATGGTTAATAAGAAATGACTGCATTTTAGATTAAAAATGCAATGTTGCGACATCTTTACAGATGCTTTTCATAATTTAGTTAAAATGGTTGATGGTTCCATAATTACATAGTCACCTGTACTATGCCTAATAACAAAAAATCCCTAGTAGCCTAGATAAACCTACCAAAATAATCCTCGGTCATCTTCTAACAGCAGCTTCCTCTAGTATTCCCCAACTGGAAAGTCCCTAAAATACCATCAATAAAAGAAGTTTTATACTTGTTGGAAAATAAAAGATTTGAGTTGGCATTCAGACCACCATCTGTGATGGTTAGTTTACTGATACATCAATGGGCTATGTGGGAAGACTAAATTATGAATGAATATAATTTATAAATATAGCCCTCCCTTGACTGTACATAATGTATAATACTGTTAATGCTTCAATGCTTACACACTGTGCACAAAACATTATTCACATTTTTTCTTATGTTTATTATATATTTTATTTTGTAACTGTACCATACATGCATACATTGGATAATTGTTTTAAACATAATATTTTTATTTATTTGTTTTATCCTCTTTCTTTCTGTTACATTGTTTTTTATTTACAAAATTGTGAAAATTTTCAATAAAAATCATTTTACAGCTAAACTAACCATAGTTGTAAATAATTGTACCTATAGTTGCTGCTTTCTCTCTCTGTTGACGCACAGCGTTCAACAGAAAACATGCTGGAAACAAAAATCCCTTTAAGGTTTTTACATTTTATTTTTACAGCTGAAGAGCCTTTTGCTTGGATTTTTTATGACTTAATTAAATTAATGAGTCACATAATGATGCACCATATCTGTGTATCAAACTGCAAATTTAAAAAATGCATATCTCGCAGCATTCCCTGTTAACAATTTTAAACACCCACTTAGGGCAAACTAGTGAAAATGAGCTCCGAACAGCGATAGGAGTTCTGATTATCGTTCCGGGGCAGACCTTTCGGCTGTCGATCATATGATAATGTAAGGCATTGCTGCATTAATTCCATGCATGCAGAGGCTTGCTGTGATTTGTCAACCCTTTGAGTGCTGTGTATACATTTTTGATTGTCTGAATATCTATCTCTATCTAATCTATCTATCTATCTATGAGAGATACATATCTGACTGTCTGAATATCTATCTATCTGTGTGTGTGTTTATATGTGTGCATTTTGATACCATCAAGGGATTATAGAAGTATCTTAACAAAAATGCAACATTATAGTTATTGAGAGAAGGCTCAATTCAAATACAAATACTAAGTCAGTTGAGGTCTTCCACACACAAGCCAAAACAAAACAAAATCCATGGATTCTTGTGCAAAAAAAAAAAAAAAAGCATGCTTGTTTTATTAAATATATAAAACAAAGAAAGGAATGCTCAAAATACATAACACATTTCAGATTACTGAAGTACGTGCAAAATGCAGTCCGGCTCTCTCTGCACAAGGCGTACAGCAACCCCAGATGTTTGTTTTAACCTTGTTAGGCATCATCAGTGAGGTGTAGCTGATATCTCTCTAGGCACCCTTGCTCACAGTGCCTGGATCTCTCGTGCAGAGAAAGCAGGCCTACAATTTGGATCTGCTCCGTCCTTTCGGATGGGACCAGTTTGATATGCGAATGGCCTGGTTCTTTTTGTAATGGCAGAAGATGAACTAAGAGATCAGAGTGGGAACCCTTTTGAAATTTTGCAGTCCAAATGTCCTTTACTGCAGCAAATGGTTTTGCACCATTCGATATGTACAGTAGTCTGTACAATGACAATAAATTAAATGTTTGTTTTTTGCAACAAAAACTGGTGGGCACCAACCCATGTGCCCAATGTACCCTGTTGTAGCACATAACAAAGGAGATACTAGTGGACCTTGCAATACTATAATAGTACAACAGCTATGGTCAATGGCAAACTCTCAAAGTTTCTTGCAATAAAAAAATCCTGGTGTTTACATACAATAAGCCACTTTCTGAACATACTTGGCTCTTTTGTGTTGTTGTTGTGTTTGCTGTTGTCAAAGGGAGGAGGGAAACCATTTTGTCCTTGCAGCAAGATATCTTGGGTCAGTTGTGCCTTGATATGCCATTTACCCATTCAACACCCAGAACAATAGTAATAACATTCCATAATAATGGTAGTTCTGTTACTACAGAAACGGCAAGCTCACAGTGGAACTAAACAATGTTTTAAATCAAGTATATCTGGAATACATTCCTACTTTGTAGCTCAACAAATCACTTTAATTCCAGTTGGACAACATACTTTTGTGAGCTACATTTCCAGTAATCTATTCGTTACTAGAAATATATCTCATGCGATATTAAGTCTTTTAACAATAAAATATATATTATTTTTTTTCTTCCAGTCAATTGCGCCCAATAGTAAGCAATATATTAATGCTACACAGGCATTTTTAAATGGAATCAATCTTCCCAGGATGGTTATTAATTTATAAATACCTCTTTATTCAACTTTCCTATTTATAACGTAACACATTGATGTTTTTAAGTTAATGTTATAGCCACGGGCAAGCATTGAATTTTCTAGAACTGGGAGATCGTAACAAATTCATACTGCTTTTTGCTACAACCAATAACATCCTTAGCGTGGGCGGGGGCTAACAAGGTTACAAGTAAATACTGAAGCCCGCAATGGTATCTCGAGTAGCTGTACCTTTTTGGAGTCGAGTTTAAAAACAACCTGACATCAGTCTTAATAACTTGATGTGCTACTGTGTTTATGCATTTATATCTATATTTTCTTTATTTCCATAATCTTGTTTTAAAATGACTTTTGTCTGACCTCTGTTTACTGAAAGATAACTTCACAGATCTTCAAATTCATAAAATAGACATAGAAAATAAAAAAATGTAAGTGTACTAAGCTATTTTGCTTGGATTTTGTTCTTGGATACATCACAGTTTATTACGAATATGTACAGTAATAATCCCAGTATTCAATTTACCACGTGTACACAATAGTGCGTAAACATAAATATATATACCTAATGATAACAAAACATATGGTTCATCC